ACAGGAAAACCGAAATTATTTTTTTATAGCAACTTTTTATGACGTTTAACGTGGTTATACCAATTTTTTTATGCGACGTTTCGTACCCGTACAGGGTGGGCAAAATTGGACGTTTTCACCGTCTATCTCAATTACTAGAGGAGTTATCGAAAAACCGATATACATGTTCCGGGTTCGATTTTAGAGAAACCTCGAATGGCACAATCAAAATTTCGATATCTTCATTCGTTTTAGAGATACAGGGGGAAATTGAAAATTTGCCGATTTCGATTTTATTTTCTGACTACTTTACGGTGAGAGGTATCAAAAAATTCCGAACGTATATTTATACAGTATGATGCGTGGAATCCATTGGCATCATCAGAAATTTTATACAGGGTGACGTTGAAAAGATACGGCATCCAATTATGTTTTTTCTAATGGAACACCCCGTATATTTTGGCACAGTTGAATAGTCCCAGGCGTTCTCATTACAAATATATATATAACCCTAGCTTTTCCTTCCACAATTTCAGATATATTCGCAAAAATATATTCAGTGTGTCACATTTCTTATGGTTACACCCCCGTATTTTCTGTAAAAATAATTGAGGTAGGATTCAAAAATTCGCAACTGTCAGAAAGATACAAATGATACACTCATGGAGTCATGGACCAGTGGGATCATCTCCAATGATAACACTGCTCGCCAGCAGCTATGGAATCATCGATATTTCTGGATAATGCTATCAACAGGCAGAATCGAGGTTGAAAATGACACTCTGTATATATTCACCAAATGTGGAAAATAAATATCATAGGGAATGTAATTTCCAGATAAAAGGATATTTGGTGAGAAATAAAATGGGAAATTATTCGATTTGATATCATTGTTATCAAGACATTTGAGATACAGAAATAAGACCAATAATTTACTCAATTAGGAAATCAGTAGGTTGCGTTGAAAAATACAGCCTTATAGAAGATGTCCAAATTCCAGATACATTTTTTTTATGGAACACCCCGTATATTTTGGCAGAGCTGGAAATTTTCCGTTTCAATTTCAAATATAAATCTTATTTATTATCTCTTTGAACGCAAAAATATTAAGGCATACTAGAAATAATGGGTAAAGTATCATATTCAGGCATTCTGCCACAAAATATTATGATTGTTAATGTTTCCATCAATTATTCTTACAGAAGATACGGGGATGTAACCATAAATGTGACACACTGAATATATTTTTACGAATATATCTGAAATTGTGGAAGGAAAAGGTAGGGTTATATATATATTTGTAATGAGAACGCCTGGGACTATTCAACTGAGCCAAAATATACGGGGTGTTCCGTTAGAAAAAAACATAATTGGCTGCCGTATTTTCTCAACGTCACCCTGTATAAAATTTCTTATGATGCCAATGGATTCCACGCATCATACTGTATAAATATACGTTTGAAATTTTTTGATACATCTCACCGTAAAGTAGTCAGAAAATAAAATCGGAATCGGCAAATTTTCAATTTCCCCCTGTATTTCTAAAACGAATGAAGATATCGAAATTTTGATTGTACCATTCGAGGTTTCTCCAAAATCGAACCCGGAACATGTATATCGGTTTTTCGATAACTCCTCTAGTTATTGAGATAGACGGTGAAAACGCCCAATTTTGCCCACCCTGTACAACCATTATCAACTTTTGTTTTCTAAATACGGTCCTGATAATTTTTTCACAGATTCTGAAAGGTTTTTTTATTCTTAATTCAACCATGTATTATAAAAGGTGATTCGAATGTGTTTCGACCTATGTCTATCCTTCATCAATGTTTTTTCAAACTTCCAAAGGAAAAGTGCCATCAGTTCCATTTATTTCTGATGATTCAGTGTCAAACATTGATGGATTAGTTATTCAATTCTGAAAAGTGAATAAAAAATATTTCACTACATCATTCAATGCAGCGCTTAAAATTGTTGATGAATTCTTACACGAATTACTTCAACAACTTAACTTTTACAATACCTTCAGAAACATTCATAACAAATGTTCAAAATGATAACCATTATTTTTCTGAACAAAGATATCCTCTTCTCACAGTTGCTACTAAGACATTACTAAGCATTTCTGGGGTTATTCTATTGAATGCTTCGATGACACTGTCCCTTAGTTCTTCTTCATCATCAATGCTATTTGCGTGTACAAAGTTTCTGATATATCCCCTAAAAAAAATCCAGCTGTGTCAAATCATGTGACCGGGCCGGCCAAGGGACTGCAGAATGAGTACCAATCCATTTTTCTGGATAAATACGAACGAACTTCTCTGGAATTATGTACCGGAGCGCCATCTTGTTGAAACCAACAGTTCTGAACTTCCGCAATCGGTAAATCATCCAGAGCTTCCTCAAGATGACTCTCAAGCAAATTTGTATAACGTAAGGAAGTCTGTGTTTCATGGTAAATAAAAGGACCAATAATTCGTGTATACCAAATATTGCAACCCACATATAAAAGCCGAAACGGTGTTGGTGTCTCGCTGTGATGTATAAATGTTCATTTTCTCGTGAACAATAATGTGTATTTTTTCTATCGAAGATACCATGATTAGTGACCATGCTTCCATCAGTCCAGATGATTGTTCGCGGGAAATCTGCAAAATTTAGTGGTATACCACTCACAGAATGCCTGCGCCTTTCGTCATCGCCTGGTTTTAGCGCTTGAAATATTTTGAATTTGTATGGATGGAATTTTTATTTCCGCAAAATGAAATGGGTTGTTGATTGTCACCAGTTGATGAGGTATTAGTGTGTTGACTGATTTTCCTTCAAAATAAGTGGAACTGATGGCATTTTTCCTTTGGAATTTCGAAAAAACATTGATGATGGTTAAAAATAGGTCGATACACACATAAACCACCTTGTTTGATACATGGTTGAATTCAGAATAAAAAAACCTTTCAGAATCTGTAAAAAAATCATCAGGACCGTACTCAAAAAACAAAAGTTGATGATGGTTCTACGAATACGAAACGTCGCATAGAAAAATTGGTATCACCACGTTAAACGTCATCAAAAGTTGCTATGGAAAAGTATTTTTAGTTCTTTTGTATCTCTAATAATAACGGAGAAAAAAAATAAAATAGATATTCCAAATATTCACTTTTTTCGATATAACTAAAAAACTGAAAATAATTTGCAACTTTTTCTCCATTTAACCGACTTCGTATCTCCTACCATTTTCGAGATCCCCACGCTGTTCAACCTTATCTTGGACAGACTGTATATTGAAGGTGAAGAATGAATTATCTTTCCGATGAGATATTTCTTACCAGTTCCAAATAGTTTTTTAAGGATCTTACATTATTGAAATATAGTATAGTATAGTATTGGAATATAGTATCAACATTATGAGATGAATGCACAATTTTTTCATAATATATGATGTGATACTTCAAAAAATTTAAATACCCTACAATTTCATGGAATATTCAAACATAGCGTTTGGCGGAAAACTCGTCTGTCCAGTACTTACGTCATAATCCCTTTTCCTGTGTAACCAACTGTTTCTTTTTAAGGAAATATCAAATAAATATTTCTCAATTTTCGAATCGATCAAACTGTGAATTGTCGAGATTACAGCCATTTCCAATTCTACATGTTTATAGCTGACATTATCACTAATCAAGTAGGTTGTAGCACGTTGGAGGTTCAATCGGAAACGACAAAATTTGGTCTAATCACTCCAATATCTATGTCATGATATGTCACAATACGGTTCGTAAGAAAACAAGAACTATAGTGAGTTTTAAACTGTTTTGTTCAGTTCATCCAGAACCTTGTTGAAATCAGTAAAATCTTGATAGTGATGAATGCTGAACTATCCATACGAGCCGAGATACGAGCTTAATAATCGGTTGAGGCGTCAACGATTTTTATGTCACCCAACCGTGAATTATCGATTCTTCTCGACTACCAATAGTCGTTCTGCGTCAGTACTGCTGACGATTTTTGGTCGTATTCTATTGGGAGCATTTTTTTTTTGGAAATTTATAAACCTTGTACTATCCTAGGCTTGTATGGATGGTATTTATAATCCCTCAGTATTCATTGGTTGATTTCAGATATCAATTCTGAATTCACCAATCACCTTCTCTAATCTTGAAATAGGACTAAGTTTAGTCGTGCATGAATTCACTATGATGAACAAAGACAGGCAATGAAAACGATACAGAAGAAAGTTTTCAATCTGACCATTTATAATCAGATACTCCCAAGAAAAACAAATTGTTGATTCCCTACAAGACCATTTCTTTAAGAAATAATCAGATTAGTTCATTTCATTATTTGTTCAGAAGCGACTACTACGACGTGATACATGTTTGAAAAGAGACTCAAAAACCCTGCTCAATGCAATAAAAGTCCAATATGGCGTTCATAAGAAAAAGCGTTACCGCCATCATCTGGAAAATTCTTTTCTATTATTTTCTAATCGGAAGATCTTGAACAAATGCACATGAAAAGTATAAACAAAAATGTCGTAGTTCTCGAATATCCGAGATACAAGGAATTTTCAAAAACTCGCCATTTTGGTTTCCCGCGATTATTTCGTAAAAATATATGACAATTCTAAAGTTCTAATAGAATTCGGAATTGATCATTCAACCGACTCAGTAGCTCTTATAATAACAGAGATAGCAATACATGCAACATCAATCAGGGACACAAGGTATAATATACTGATAGCTCCATTTTTGTACCAGGTGAACAACTAAGAACGGCTGTCAGCGTGATCTGGAGTATCAATAGATATCGTGAATTAAAAATGTAATGTATGCATATTATTACACGATCAAATAGAGAAACTAAATCTCAACAGACCAACGAAAACTGCAACATGATAGCTTTTCGCTAACGGAAGATATTGACGATCAAAGTTGGAAAAAGGATTGATGACAGCCGTTCTTAGTTGTTCACCCGGTATATGGTACAAGTTGAAAAACATCATTAGTAATTATAAGACCCACCTGTTTGACATTGGAGAAATGGAAGAAGCATTACTAACATCTCCACTCATATGTGGATTAAGATACCCCTCAACATCATCGGTCCTAGTAGTATTTGGACTAGGTAGGTCACCAATCTTATGTGGAAGACTCTTGTTCCCGTCAATCAGTTCTTGTGCATCATCGAGCATAGAAACATTCGAGTCTAGACTCCTTTGCTTGGTGCTAGCCAAACTATTGGATATCGAGGAAGCCTTCCTTCGGTTCAAGTGAATTTCATCAGATATCCTTTCTAAATTTCTCAATGCATCTGCGTACGATGATTTAGAAGTCACTACTTCGGCTTCTAATTTCTGAACTTTTTGTTTTTGATGTTCTAGTAGTTGGTTGTAGTGAGCCTTCATTTCGTAATATGGTCTAGAAATATGGTAGTTCTATTAAATTCACTTCATTAAATTTTTCTTCGCCATTACTTGATATAATAACATCAGACTATTGGTTGAAGTGATTATTGAACGACTCGTCAAACGATAAAAATAAAAAGTAAATGTACTATTCGGGTACCAGACCATTTTGGTCAGTTTTCCTATATTACTCTCCTTAGAAAAATCTAAGGTCAAAAATAGCAAAACATAGCTCTATTTTCAAGATCACTTCTTCAGAGAGTATTGGTCATAGGAAAAAGGGATGATAATATTTATTATTCGTTAATGTAAATAAATAATATACTTCCCAAGGTATCTTCATTAGATTTTGAGTCATCGATTGAATAGTAGGATGTTTATCAGATCTTATCAAATTTTGAGTGACAGTTTTTCTCTCCAATTATCCAAACACTCTTCACATAATCATCGAAGGTTATTGATGTTTTCACAACAGACGTTACGCCAAAATGTCTCAGAATATCATCAATTTCAAAATCATCATATCCTTCTTGCTGCAGTTCTTTTCGATTGTTCATAATGTCATCTTTCGTAGTTCAAAATCTAGTTGAGTAGAGCTTCAATCTCAGTCCAACGTAGTCAATCATTGCTACTCCGTTTTGCTCATCTTTCAACATTCCCAACACCTTCTGATTACCTATATTATATGTATATTATGTTATTCGGTTCATAGTCGGAGGTATCGAATCGTTGATGACTGTCCTTCCACATAGCTCCATATGGATCGTGACCAATAATATCATAAATCAAGCTATCAGTGTTAGTGTAGAGAACTGAGAAAACACGAAATGTGTTGTTGACATTTATAGTCGTAGTGATAGTCATATAATTCAGTCTTAGGTAAGTCTAAAATAGCTTTCGGCCAACGTAAATGGGTTTGTTGAGATAGATTTACATTTTTTTATCTCTACAGCAATCAGATGTTCATTGAAGACTGTTCTTGAACTCAGGTTTTGAAATGTACGCCTCAGCACCCACTCCGTTAAAAGCCTGGCATCAAATATATTTCTAATGTTCTGCATTGTCTTACCAAAGACGGCGACGTTCATGAGGTTAAACAGATTCTTCGCAAATTCATTTTTTGCTTGTTTACGGAGCTAAAATATCTGTAGCCATGTTTCAAAAATGCCCATTTTCGAAAAACACCTTGCAACTCCGAAACAAAGACAGATATTGATATGCGGTTTTCACCATCGAGTTTTTCATGAGAATCGACCCTCAGGCACCGACATCAGTTTTCTTTCATCTGGTTCGAGAATAGGACTTTCCCTTTAAAAGTGTCCAATTTGGCCCACCCTGTTTATAAATATATTATGTTTACGCTCATGAACAACGCCGTTTTTGGTAAGTCGAAGAAGAACATTAGAAAAAGAGTTTATGTCAGGCTGCGGCGTACATTTCACATCCAGAGTTCAAGAATTGAACAGTCTTCAAGATCATCTGATTGCTTGAGAAATAAACAAATTGGAAAAATAATAATAATATAATAATATTCGTTTTTTCACCACTAGCTATAAAACCTATACCATTATTTACTCCGTTTCGAGGTGTAAAGTGTGTTTTTACTACCAAGGTAGTTTTCGTCATTTTATTAACTACTAGTCAATAATGACATAGCCACGTCTGTTATAATCAACCCGAATTCACTGTTCTGATGCGAGGTTCTCAATAATGGCACTCGAATCTAGTAGGTATTTATCCACAACGACTTGTCATATGCTGTCATGGTTATGGCTACTAGATTTTAATTGGAATAAAAGAAAAGTGCTTTTACAGAACCAAAATGAACCAAAATGTATTGCTAGTGGTGAAAAAAATTGTATATACACCTTGGTAGTAAAGTTTATTACTACACATGTTAAGACATGAATAGCATATAGAATTTAATAACATACCAGTATCATCCAGTACCTACCCACTTATTTTAATAAATATATAGAAGTACAGTCGTATTCAATGAAAAAGCGTACGAGTGTTGAAAAGAGAGGTTTACGGCATCCTAGTTCTAGTTGTATACAACTGGCTGAGCCAATGCTTTGTGTTTTTGAGAACCTTCGACAACTTTACTGTCCACATTTGGTAAACAATCATTCCGGATAGCCCATTTTATGGAAATAGAATGACGTTAATTTCTCTTTGTAATATACTTGTACGCTTTTTTATTGAATACGACTGTACAGTGTGTCCAGTTTTCGATGCTTTTGCGTGATATCTCAGTTATCTCTCGAGATAGAACCTTGCGGTTTTCGCGGTCCTGTGCCACTTTTTTGTGAAACTCAAGATGGCCTAATCAGATTTTGCATAAATGTTTGCGTTTATGAGATACAGGGCGATTTTGTAAATTCATAATTTTTGGACCCTCTCTATACCTATGAAGTTTCTCAGCGAAAATGTCAAATTGAAATCTTAACCCATAGAAAATTTTATGCCGAATCCAGTGGCGCACATTTTTTTTTTTTCGGGGTATGGTTTTGATCAATACGACTCAAACTTATGATTTTTTAAATTGAACACCCTGTATTTTATAAGCTCATTAAATTCCTTATTTTTTCCCTTCGAAATGATATATGATGTATGAATATAAAATTTTCAAAAATGTTGAAAAATCGCTGAAACATTGAATTTTAATAGTGGGCTATGGGTTTTTCCAGGGATTTTCATTTAAAGAAATTTTCAATTGAAGGAATATTTTCTTTCATTGTTCCATGAAGGGGAAAAAACAATTTCAACACTGATTAACTTGCAAAACACAAGACTTAGATAAATGATATCCACAAATATATAGTGATAGAAAGTTTATAATGTAGAATATTTACTAAAACAATTGAATTTCGAAATCATTCAGTGATTTATTCATTGAATTGTTCAAATTGAAGTCCATTTTCCATCACAAACTTTCTCAATACATATTAATCATTGAATGATGTCTTTGTTATTCCTGGAAAACGGCCTCTGTTGTTGCACAAAGTTCTTCAAGTATGTTGGGCCACTCACTGTATTGAGAAGTATTGAGAAAGTTTGTCAACTGTATGTTAGGGAAAATGGACATCAATTTGAACATGTCAATGAATAAGTTACTGAATAATTCCGGAATTCAATTGTTTTAGTAAATATTTGATCAGGTGCTTTTTCTACATTATGAACTTTTTATTACTATTTATTTCTTGCTATCAGGTACCCAAGTTTAATGTTTTGTTAATTAACAAGTGTTGATATTGGTTTTGACCTCTCTATGAAAAAATTTAAAGAAATATTTCTCCAATTGGAACGTTTTTTATGAGAAAAATCCATAACGAACTATCAAAATTCAATATTTTAGTGATTTTGAGCAATTTTGAAAATTTTATTATTATTCATCATATATCATTTTGAAGACAAAGAAATTAGGAATTTATTGAGCTTATGAAATACAGGGTGTTCCATTTAAAAATTCATAAGTTTGAGTCGTATCTCCAAAACCATACCCCGAAAAAAAAAATAAGTGCGCCACTGGATTATGCGTGAAATTCTCTATGCGATGAGATTTTGATTTGGCATTTTTGTTGAGAAACTTCGTAGATATAGAGAGGGTCCAAAAAGTTTAAATTTTCAAAATCGCCCTGTATCTCATAAACGGTAACAGTCTTGCAAAATCTGATCAAGTCATATTCAGTTTCACAAAAAAGTGTCACAGGACCGTGAAAACCGCAAGGTTCTATCTCCAAAGATAACTGAGATATCACGCAAAAGCATCGAAACCGGGACACACTGTACATACAAGATACTCACTAATTTTCTTTAAATTTCGACTTCTAGATGATAACATTCATAATTCCATGAATGATAATTCTAGGTGTTTCATGAACCTTTTTTTTTTTTTGAATTTGTATTTGATATTTAGGTTTTTTATTTCGATTGGGAGGTTAAATATTTTCACAGCTAGATGAACATAGTTTCGCAGACCAATTATATTTTAAATATTTGGTTTATCTGTGACGATATTTTTATTCCTGGTGTTGTGGAGATGTTGTTTGTAAAGAATTATGTGTTTATTTTTTTAAAGTGCTTAGCAGTGTGTGTCCGTATTTTTGTCTTAAGTCAAACATTTCTGATTCTCGATATAGTTCATCTGTGAGATATGTGCGTTTTTTATTGAATATTATTCTGAGAATCAATTTTCGTACCACCTCAACGTGTTTCATATGTGTTCATGACATTTCCCCATCCTATTATGCCATAGGATAGTTGGGACTGTACAAGAGAGTGATACAAAATTTTCGGTTAGGGTAGTGACAAAAATTATTTGAGAAACCTGAATTTGATTAGTAACATTCGTAGTTTATTTATAAGGTAATAAACATGCAGATCCCATTTGAAGTGCCTATCTATGATGATACCCAGGTATTTTATGCTTCTTGCCTCCCCAATTTTAATCATGGTTTCTCCAGAATCATTACGAATATTCAAAGTCTGATAATCAGGTAAGTGTGTTTGGTAGGTACTAAAGGGTATTCTTGGTTTCATCATTGTTTACTGTTAGAACATTTCCATTGAACCAATTTTTAATTCTCAGGAAATCATCTTCAACTATTTCTTTTAATTGTTGCCAGGTATCTGCATTGTAAATGATCACTGTGTCGTCTGCAAAGCTAAGTATTTCCCCTCGACTGCTTATATTAAGTAAGTCATTCAAGTATACAGGCTGATTCACGGTGGATGGCACATTGGACGTTTCTGGAGGATGCAACTCAGGATTATTCTGAAAAATTGGTGCCTTGGATAATTAGTTGTGTTCTATCGACCTAAAATATTCTCAGTGTTGCGAAGTTGCCGGTTATATTGAAAAGTAGCAACAACTTTGATTTTTTTATTGAGACACCCTAAATATTATTCCATTTTCAGATTCTCCCTGAAGAGCTGATTCTATTGACCTATAAGACTTGGGGTCTAGCAGTAATAAATACAGAGTTATAGGATGTGAAAAATCGAAATATT